GCCTGAATGACCACCTCGAAAACTCTGAAGCGGCGGTGCACTGATGGGAGCCGGTGGTGCACTGTAAGGCTGCTGATCAGGATAGTGCATCTGAGAACCTCGACCGCTTGAAGTACCATGAGAGACCTGTAGAGCGGACTGAAAGGGCCTAGGAGGATGGCCTCTACCATAAGAATCTCTACCTCCAGACGAGGTACCACTGAATCTACCTGAATGACGGGGCCTCTTATCCGACCCATGACCACCTCCCTGTGACAGAACCATCTCAACTCTGCGGGCCACATTGGCCGCCTCCTGAAAAGTGATCTCGCTTGCGGCCTCCTTGGCCATCTGAAGACGAATCGGCTGAATAAGACCATCAATAAACCTCCTCTCTCTCGCTCTCGGTGGGAAGCATGACAAGAGCATGGCGAGCTAGATCAATGAACCTGGTCTCATACTGAGTGACCATCATGGAACCCTGCTGAAGGCGCTCAAACTGCCTTCGAAAGGCCTCTCGCTGAGTCATGGGGAGAAACTTCTCCAGAAACAACACTGAAAACTGCTCCCATGTCAAAGATGGCGACCCTGCTGACCTGGCTAAACAGTAATCCCTCCACCAAGTCTTGGCGGATCCAGATAGGCGAAATGCAGAATCGACCGCATTGGTCTCAACAATACCCATGTTCCGAAGAACCTCGTGGCAACTATCCAGATAATCCTGGGGATCCTCAGTAGATGCACCGCTGAATGTAGTAGTGAAGAGCTTGGTAAACCTGTCCAATCTCCACAAAGCATCGGCAGACATAGCTGCTCCATCACCGGCCTGGGCTACCATGCCCGGCTGAGCTGCTCCAACCGGCTCTACTGCTGGAGTCTGAGTCTGGGGAACTACCTGCTCCGGAGTGCGAGTAGCAGGAGTCTGAGCCCCTCCTCCAACCTGAGAAGTGGCTGGTGCTACTGGAAGCAAACCTGCTCGGGTGACACTCTCCATGAGGCCCACCAATTTGACAAGAGCGTCCTGAAGAACTGGGGTGGCAATGAACCCCTCTAGGACCTGAGCTGGGCCCACCGGAACCGCTGGGGCTGGAACCTCCTCCTCGAAATCAACCAGAGGCTCCGCCACTGGTGCTGCTGCTCGGGGCTGAGCTCTGCCCCTACCTCGGCCTCTAGCATGGCCTCGGCCTCTGCCCCTGGCGGGAGCTACTGCTGGGGACTCGGGCTGCTGAGCGGTAGATGAGGAAGCACGTGTTCTCGCCATCTGCGAAAGAACAGAGTAGAAATTCAATCAGTATTTGAGAAACAGAACCGCACGACAAGAAAGAACAAATGTGAAGTTTCCTAACTCTGTAGCCTCTAGGGGATAAATACAGACGTCTCTGTACCGATCCCTTAGACTCTACGAAGCTTGTCCGTGAGTTGTGAGACCTATGTAACCTAGAGCTCTGATACCAACTTATCACGACCCAGATTTTCTACCCTCGGGAGTCGTGATGGCGCCTACTAATGAGAGCTAGGCAAGCCAACCCCTAATTACCTTTACCATTAACCAATTTACCTCTTTTAGCAATTATCAGCAATAATATAAAAGCAACGAAATTAAATAATAAGCGGAAGTCTTAAATTATAGAAAACTGAATAGAAATGTAGAAAATTCAACATAAGCCTCTACCCAAGACTGGTGTCACAATACTCACGAGCTACTAAGAATACTAAATACAATCGTCTGAAAGAGAACATAAACTGTTTGTCTCGAATACAATGAGATAACAGACTAAAATAAAGGATAGAGGAGACGTCGGGCCTGCGGACGCCTGCAAGGCTACCTCGATGTCTCGCTGGACTGAAGTCCTGCTCCCACGCTACTGCTGCTACTGCCCAAAACCTGGATCTGTGCAAAATAGCACAGAGTGTAGTATCAGCACAATCGACCCCATGTGCTGGTAAGTGCCTAGCCTAACCTCCGCGAAGTAGTGACAAGGCTAGGACCGGATTACCAATTAAACCTATGCAGTTATATAATATACAGCGGAATGCAAAGCAGGAATAAACAAGTAAAGATGGGAGGGGAAAACATGTTGCGGGAGTATACCAGTATTAACAGTAAATCCAGAGTAACAGTCTAAGGGCAGCTTAGAATTTACAGCGAACAAAGAAACTAATATCCAAAATAAACACACTTGTATCAATAATTGTTGCGGCGCGCAACCCGATCACAATATATAACAACACTGTTGCGGCGTGCAACCCGATCCATATCATTTAGCGTTGTTGCGGCGCGCAACCCGATCCACAAATATCATACAATGCACGCATCACCCTTCGTGCTTTATCACTCTTCCTCACCCAAACAACAATCACAAATAAGGGGCAAGAAAGCAAACAAATAATGATAGAAATCCCCGCAAGGGAATGCAATTAAACAATTAAATCCCGGCAAGGGAACAATATCAATAAATTTCCATGTCCCAGCAAGGGGGAAAATCAACAAAACAACAAAACGTCCCGGCAAGGGAATAAACCAATAACTCTTTCTCTTTCTTTCACTTTCATCTCATAGTTCACATTATCACTTGAGCCAACGCTCCAAGGATTTAAATATCTCATATACCTTCACAATTTGTATTTCAACTCGAGCCAACGCTCCACGAAGTTCAAAGATCACAATTTCCTTTCACATATTCTTTACAACATATAGAAATCATCAATTAAGTATGGAAGCTGTAACAAAACCAGGATATTCGCACTATAAGGACTCACGGTCATGCTAGACACCAATGTATAGATACTCGTCACCATGCCTATACATCATACTCGACAATTAGCAAGTAGCAAATAAGACTCAACTCCTATTCCCTCAAGCTAAGGTTAGACCAAACACTTACCTCAACTTCCACGACCAAATCAATCCACAACAACCGCTTTCACTCTCGAATTCGGCTCCAACTCAATTAAATCTATACAATAATGACTTCATAGTATCAATATATGCTAAACAAATCAAACCCAATGCCTAATTATAGTTTTCCAAGCTTTCTTCCCAAAATCCCAAAAATCGCCCGCGGGCCCGCTTGGTCAAAACACGAGGTTCGGACCAAATTCATATCCCCCATTCACCCACGAGCCCGAATATATAATTTATTTTCAAATTCGACCCCAAAACGAGGTCTAAATCAAGAAAAAGTAAAAAGCCCTAACTCTACCCAATTTTCCCAATTTCTACCGTAAATTACATGTTTTAGGCTTAGAAATTCAACCAATATTGATGGAAAGTGAAGGAAACGAGTTAAGATTTACTAACCCAAGAAGTTTTGATGAAGAATTGCTTCAATGGTCGCCCAAGAGCTTGGAGAAGAAAGGTTTTGGGGAAAACTTGGTGAAATCCCGTAATGGTTCTGTTTTGGGGTTTTAAAAATAACTGGGCAAAATTGTCCTTCGCGTTCGCGGAAGGAAGGTCGCGTTCGCGAAGGGTAGACTTGACAAACCATCGCGTTCGCGATAGGGAGAGTGCGAACGCGAAGAGAAAAGCTGGGGGGGGGGGTCCATGATTTGTTCTACGCGAACGCGTGGGCTATCACGCGAACGCGACGAAGGAATCTGGCAAACTACGCGAACTCGGTCAAGGGTATGCTATCGCGAAGAGAAAAAGAGGGCTAAGCCCTCAGGGTCAAATAACACTACGCGATCGTGAGGGGATTGATGCGAACGCGATGAAGGAAAAACATAAAGCTTCGCGAACGCGGAAGAGGCGTCGTGAACGCGAAGAACAAAGGGACATGCAACTGCTGAAGCCATTTTCTGCAATTTTCCTAAGTCCGAAACCACTCCGAAACACTTCCGAAACACTCCCGAGCCCTCGGGGCTCCTAACCAAACACATGCACTAACTCAACAACATCCTACGAACTTAACCGTGCGATTAAATCGCCAAATAACATCAAAAACAACGAATCAAACCTCAAAATCACTAGTTTTTCTTCAAACTTCATGAACTTTCAAATTTAGAGTTTTAAGTCCGAAACACGTCAAACGACGTCCAATTTCACCTAAACTTCACAGGAATATCTTAAACCACATATAAGACCTGTACCGGGCGCCAGAACCAAAATACGGGCCCGATACCAACACGTTCTAATCAATTTTTATTTCAATTTTCCTTAGTAATTTCAGAAAAACAATTTTACTCAAAAATTCATTTCTCGGGCTTGGGACCTCGGAATTCGATTCCGGGCATACGCCAAGGTCCCATATTTTTCTACGGACCCTCCGGGACCGTCAAATCGCGGGCCCGGGTCCGTTTACCCAAAATATTGACCGAAGTCAAATTTATTCATTTTAAATACAAAAATTTAGCATTTTTCACACAACTTCACCTTTAAGCCTTCCGTCTACGCGCCCGAACTATGCGCGCAAATTGAGGCGACTACAAATGAGGTTTTCAAGGCCTCGGAAGCACGAAATGAGTAAGAAAACAGGTGATGACCCTTTGGGTCGTCACAGGAACAGTGTAATAATTACTACTCACTATGAGCATATAGGATTTCTCATGTTAAGAAATTAATCGAGACAATCTATTCAATGTCAATCGTGCTTTGACATGATGAATGCCATTTTTCTATTTAAGGGTTTAATGAAATTAATATTAGTTGTTTCTCTTTTATAGTCTAAAGAAAACTTAGTGGTGGATAGGTTTCTATTGACATATTTTCAGGTCTAAATGTCTGGCTTCAGTAATTAGTGAAGTTCATGATCAACTATCAGACAATAATTATCTCTTTAGGATAACAAAATTATCTTTGAAATTGATGATATGGAATATTTTGGAGCTAATTACAAAAAATATAAATTTACAATAAGATTTTATTATAATTTAATTTTTTCTTTTATAACCGCGAAGCGCGACAAATTTACTAGTTTACTAAATAATTTTGATGTTATTCAATCCCGAAGATAATGACAATCCGACGTATATTTTTACTATAATAACTTGTTCATTCACAGATTAAATGACCCAGAAATTATCCAATCAGTTAGATAGAAGATAGGTCTTCCTAATTTTTTTTTAAAATATCAGTTACGTAGGTAGTACTAGTATTAAAGGTTAAAAGAAGAAAGTAATCATTTGTTTGAACCAAAATAATCGAGAAGCTATATCTCTGTATTTCAAATCATTGATTTCTCCAGAAATGGTAGTTGCATTTGTGGCCGTAGCTAAGTCAATCGGGCAACAATGCTTGAAGCGATCAAAACCCTATTCCCACTCTTACTTCTCCAGCTATGTTTGTTCCTCAAATTCGAAGTATGGAGTCTCAAAATGGCAATTTCAGAGTCATAGAACTCTAATCTTACAGTCGGCTTCTGAATCCGTCAAATTAGAAAGACTCTCCGATTCCGATTCCGGTAATTCCACTCACTTTGTCCTGTTTTACAGCATGCTGTAACTATTTGTGGAATTAAACAATTTTTATTCGGTAACAATTGATTGTGGGTTAATTAACAGGGATTTTGGAGGTTATATTGGATAGGCCCGAAGCGAGAAATGCATTAGGGAAGGATATGTTAAGAGGATTACAGCAAGCGTTTGAAGCCGTGAGTAATGAACGTTCAGCAAATGTTTTGATGATCTGCAGTTCGGTTCCCAAAGTGTTTTGTGCTGGAGCTGATTTGAAGGTATAACAGCTTCTCTTCATGTTGTGTTTTTAGTTGTAATATGTATTTTCTTGCAAGCAGTATCACAACTTGTAGATATTACATCTTCCTTTTCGTCATGTATCCTCTTCTCTTCATTGTGCCAACCATTGTATTTGTGTTTTCAAGCAAGATATGAACTTTATGTGTTCGACTTTGAAATTCTGCCTAGTCCATTTGAATTACGGGGTTTGAAATCTTTATTTGTACAAATTTAGTGAATTTTTTAATGCACAGATGTTTTGTTGATTCTCTCTGTAATGTCTTGTTGTCTTCTAGTATGTTTTTCTTTTGTATCGTGTGACATGTTGACAAGGAAAACAATAAAATTTCACAAGCTAGGAGCATCTGCCAAACATACAACTTTCAATGTAGAAAAGTTTCTCTGTTGTTTGATCTCTTCGTTTGTGCAGCCTCTGTGGGACTCAAACATCTTCACAGATTCAATTTTCTTTTGTGGGGACTGGATTTATGATTGGCTTGGCATATGATTGAATAGCTGATGTTCAGAAGTCTTTCTACTGTTTGTTATCTGTGCTGTATTTTGTACCTACTGATAGCTAATTCAATTGATTGGCATTTGCTACATAGGAACGAAAAACTATGATTCTTTCTGAAGTCCAGGATTTTGTAAGCACTTTGAGATCAACTTTTTCCTTTTTGGAGGTACGTGACTTGTATTGATGTTCTGTTTAATATATTAAAGATCATAGTGTCTTAAAGCTCAGGAAGAAGTGCTTTTTCTTTTCTTTTTTTCAATTTATGAAAAGAAGAAGTTATCAGTTTATACAATCTTCTGAATTCTTCCTTCAAAATGATTGGTTCATGAGATCATACTATGTCTCGTTTCTTCTTCCTCACTTATTACTTTATCAACCATAAAGTGGTCCAGTTGTACATATCCTCTTCTTTTCTTTCACTCTATTTGAGTAAATATTTTCTTGCTCAGGGTCTTCGTATTCCTACAATTGCTGCCATTGAAGGTATAGCATTGGGTGGGGGACTTGAAATGGCGATGTCTTGTGATATCCGGATATGTGGTACGTGCTTTCTTGCACTTCTGAGTGTACCATATTTTCTCCTTCTAGCTCTCTAGTTTGATGATGTGTTAACAGGTGAAGATGCAGTGCTGGGCTTGCCAGAAACAGGACTTGCTATAATACCAGGGTATGCCTCAATTACACATTATATGTTTGCTTATGCAAAACCCCAAATTCGGTGAAGGATGTGTTAGCTATGTGTGGTTTATTTTCTAAATATATCAGATCAGTTGGACACATTTCCACTATCTTTTTGTCACTTTGTAATCTTTTACTATTCAAAGGTTTCCAACTTCAGAAGTTGCTTTAAATACTCTGTATGCATAGATGATCTTCTTAATGCTATCCTCTTATTTCATACTGGCATTGTGCAGAGCAGGAGGAACGCAACGGCTTCCTAGATTGGTTGGAAAATCAATTGCAAAAGATATAATCTTTACTGGCCGAAAGATAAGTGGGAAAGATGCTGTATCAATAGGTACGTGTATGACTTGTCAGAGCTCAGTTGTCAAGAGTTAGGGCTCCTCTCTCCAAGCTCTCTCTCTCTCTCTCTCTCTCTCTTGTTAATATAAAAGTGGCAGTGATTTCCGCACTCCATTACGAGTTATGGGTTAACAATAGACTCCGAGGTTTAGGCAGATAGAAAGAAATCATCTAATTTTTGCTTCTGCTGTAATTTTGGACCTTGATCTCCTATGGTTTTCTTTTCCAAGTTCTTAGTGAATTATACATGTTATGCAGGGCTTGTCAATTACTGTGTTCCTGCTGGCGAGGCTCGTCTCAAGGCACTTGAACTTGCTAGGGATATTAATCAGAAGGTTAGACTTTAGTTATTGAGATAAAGCATGTTTAATGTATTTATCCAGTGTGCCACTCATATGACTTCCAATTGCAATTTAGCCACGAAGAAAGAAGAAGAGAAGCAACATAAAAGAAGTCCAACTCTTACTATAAAAAAAATAAAGATGTCCAACTGTACTGGTACACAGATAACTGTAAAGATTCATTAGCAGTAAATAGTAATTTTTTCGTATCGTTTTCACCTTTTATGAGTTATATGCACCCTCAGGACCATAAAATACGCTTGTCACTGTTTTTTTTGAATAAAATTGAGGCGCTTCTTTGAACTTTTTATCATCTTCCGTGGACCTTAATTTAATGGCATTTACTAATCCTATGCTTGCTTGTTTCCCACTTTGTGCACTGCACCTTCATTTTCTGTGATAAGCTTTGTAGGATCATTTGACTATACAATAGTTCGTTGCTTTGGTTTCTTTGTTTTCTTTTTCCCCTTCTTTTTCGGTTTTGAGCTATTTTATGGCAGGTTCACGTAGAAAACAAGTGTTACTCTATTGTTTTCTTTCCTTTTTTCCCTTTTCCATGCATTTTATTGAAAGGGAAGCTTAAGGTTTCTCCATGTATACAACCTTTCTGTTTTACGAGCTTCTTGTATTTCTGGTATCCATGTAGAATGAAATGATATTGAGTGGCAGAGTGGGAATATTAGGAATCTGAGGCAGAGTGAAAAGAACAAATAAAAGCCCTATTTGGTGATTCCCTCATGGTTTCAATCTTAAAAGCTCATTTCAATGTCCAGGGTCTAGAAAAGGGGCTCACTCTATTCATTTACTTGAAGAATGGAGTAATCCACTCGACAAGTTCATTGGTACTACTTTATCATATGGTTTTATCCATACTAGTCAGGGCTATGTTGAAAGGATATGGTAGCATCAATTAAGTCCAAACTTTCCTTTTCTATAGAGCCTTCCTTGTTTCTTTTCCTTCCTCCCTGTTAACTGTGCCTTCTACCTCCAGATGGAATAGTCACTTTTTATGGCAGGTTCACATAGAAAACAAGTGTTACTCTATTGTTTTCTTTCCTTTTTCCCCTTTTCCATGCACTTTATTGAAAGTGAAGCTTAAGGTTTCTCCATGTAACCTTTCTGTTTTACGAGCTTCTTGTATTTCTGGTTTCCATGTAGAATGAAATGATATTGAGGGGCAGAGTGAGAATATTAGGAAGCCGAGGCTGAGTGAAAAGAACAAATAAAAGCTCATTTCAATGTCCAGGGTCTAGAATAGTAGAAAAGGGGCCCACTCTATTCATTTACTGTAAGAATAATGTAATCCGCTCGACAAGTTCTATTGGTACTAGTTTATCATATGGTTTTATTCATACTAGTCAAGGCTGTGTTGAAAGGATATGGTAGCATCAATTAAGTCCAATCTTTTCCTTTTGTATAGAGCCTTCCTTTTTTCTTTTCCTTTCCCCCCCTATTAACTGTGCTCTTCTACCTCCAGATGGAATGGTGATAAAGCTTTTGCTCTTTATTCAATAACTTATAAACTTCTGATGAATAAATTTGGTCTAAGCATGCGCGAGGAAAGAAAGTAAAATAAATATTGATGAAGTTTTTGCTAAAGTTGCTCTTTTTATGCTCGGCTTTTGCAAGTCAATTGACATATACCTTATCAATGTCGACTGACATATATTCTCTGACAGGGTCCGGTGGCGTTAAAGATGGCAAAATGCGCTATTGACAAAGGAGTGGAGCTAGATATGGAGTCAGCCTTAGCTTTAGAGTGGGATTGCTATGAACAACTGTTAGACACAAAAGATAGGTTAGAAGGCCTTGCTGCATTTGCTGAGAGGAGAAAACCTAGGTATAAGGGTGAATGAAAAGATTATAGTGCACCCGATAGATAAACTGACCATTCACAACGGAAACCAAAACAAGTACTATTTATATGTGATCTAATTCATCATGGCTCAGTGTTGTCCGTCTGTGTATGTGCTTGTGTAAACTTTGTTTTATGTAAAGGGTTAATAAAGCCGTTCCAACTAGCCGGAGGTAGTGGTGGCAAAATAGTTAAGAGAAAACAGTTATATAGCCATAGTATCCATTAAAAAATGGGTTGGATAATGAACTTTCCAAAAAAAAGGATCAAATATGGATAAGAACCATATTATCCATTTAGACAAGGGAATGATGATTTCCATATATAATAAAAAGCTCGGTACAGCCTGAATGAACACAGAGGAGTCTAAGACCAGGAGCAATTAGAAGAGAGGAAATGCTGCCCCGTTAGTAGAATAAGGGTGTAATTGTGATAGATAAAAGGATGACATTTAGGCCTTTGATTGAGGAATGATTTAAAGAAAAGGGATTTTATGAATTGCACGGGATTGGAATACCCCCATAAGATGAATCATGTTAGGATGCTATGAAATACGGTTATTGAGGTATAGTATCGTCCCAAAGTGGTATCAGAGCAGTTCTGTCCTAGGGAGTCTACAAGCCGTGTCTAGTAGAGTCTTGTTTATTGGTGTGTCGTGCACCACACTTATAAGCAGGAGGCTACAGGGCATTTAGGACTGTCACTCTTTCTTCTTACTCTAGATCGTGTGGTAGAGCTCAGTTGTAAGAATTCAAACTTCTAAATTCTATTTTATCCGTAATACAATGATACCTACATCGAGAAAGATAGTTGGTTAAAGATTGAATGTGGCTCTGGAAGAGCTCATTTAGAGGGGTTTAACTTTTATATCTGTAAAGCCTCAAATTGGGTGTTCTTCAAGTTTGGGAGACTAGGAATTCTCCCAAAAGCGATCATATTCAAGAAGTATTCATATTATCCATCGGCTAACTTGTTTTTTATCCGTATTAAATATGGGTCGAATCAGATAGATTAATTCATTTTTGCATTACTCGTTTTGATCCGATCCGACGCGCTCGTTTGCCGCCCCTAGTTGGAGGTAGAGGGAGAATGGGGGAGTATATCGCGTGCAGCATTATTTGCATTCTGTGTAGAGACGATGTATTCTTTACTATGCGACAAGAACTATTCTTATTTCCAGAAATCTACAATAGATATTCAGTGGAAGCCAAATAAGCTGTTACATATACGAGACACCATGCAAATGATGGTAGATGATTCAATCATCAATTGAATAACAAAAGTGTCGCCGGTAAAAAGACTTTCAATCGGTGAACTAACCACGCCAGCATGAAATAGTAAAAGAGATCGTATAATAAAGATAACTGCTTTAATCTTTCAGCAAAGAAATATAGTTCGACAAATATAGAGTTACTAAAGGTAGGATCTTTATCTTATTCTCCTTATATTTTGGGTCACTTTCACCCAAAAAAACACATGTTTACTTATTTCTAATTTGGAAACGTTTGATTTCTCCAATTAAGTAGGGGCTTGTACATGGATTTGGTTGAAACTTGAAAAAAAAGTTTTCTAAGTTAATTTTGAAAGGTTGAAATTGTGTTTGGACATGTATATTAGTTGAAAAAAAGTTAGAAGTTTTGCGAATGGAATTGCTCGATCTGTTCAATTGAGACCTTATAATGCAATCGCATTCTCTGGTCCAATTGCTGTTTTTGTTTTTGTATTTCTGATTTATCCACTGGGTTTTTTGAAACTTGAAGACAAAAATTTTAAAACTAATCAAATTTCATGAACAAATAATGTTTTCAATTTTTTTTTTTTTAAAAAAATAACTATGTCCAAATCTATGTCAAATTTAATAAATTGCCTAGGAATTGGAAAGCGGAAAAAATTAAGCAAGAAAGGCAGTTTTTTTTTTTTTTTTTTTTTTTTTGGATAAACCTATCACAAAACTTTTCCAAAACCTATATAAGGAAGAGAGCATACCAGAGTGCCACATTACCCGCTACCTTTACTTCCTAAGAGAGAGAGAAAGGAATCCATGGCTGAAAGTGGTGGTGCTAAGAAATGGCTTCCTCTTGAAGCTAACCCTGATGTCATGAATCAGGTACCCCTTTATTTTGCTTCTTAGCATTTACTTTTTGTCAATCTGTTCGTTTTTTTCTTTTCGTGAGCTAAATCTTTTCTGGGGTTTCTCAGAAAATTAAGGTTTCATTATTTTTGAGTTCTTGAGATATTCATTTTAGTATGAAAAAAAACTATCTTGGTGGTTCTTTGTTTTTCATGTTTAATAAGTTGACCAGCGGAAGTGTTATTTACACACTAATTTGGATGATAAAGCAAGTTTCTTTCACTTTAATCAGCTGATTGATCTTATTTTGTCCGAAAAAAGAATTACTTAATAAGGTATATAAGCATGTTTTTAATTTGCATGTGTATTTTCTATCAATCAGCTAAGATTGGTGAAACCCATATACATGAAAAGTTGATGAGATAAACGTAATTGGTTGATCCTATTTCATTATACGCCTTTTTCGTTTAATTGAGCAGTTCCTTTGGGGTCTTGGTGTTCCACCTAATGAGGCAGAGTGCTATGATGTTTATGGGTTAGATGAAGAACTTCTGGAAATGGTGCCCAAGCCGGTGCTTGCTGTTTTGTGTCTCTATCCTCTCACATCACAGGTTTGCTGTTAAAGAAACCTTTGTTAATTAGACAAGTAACACGACTGATTTTGTACTCTCCTTTTTTTCTTCTTTATAATTTGATGCTAGCTCATTAATTACATGCCATGTGTTTTCAGAGTGAAGCAGAGAGAATACAGCAAGACAGCCAAACAAAGGTGATTTCATGAGCTCATGGCCATATCTTTGTGAACTATACTTTGTTACTTCTAAATTATGTATACCGTGCTTCTATCACCAGTCTTTGATTTTTCTTATTGCTGAATTCTGAATTTACAGGATTCAGGAACTTTATGTTACTGCTATTCATGTTTAGTCTTGAGGCACATTAACTTGTTATTATGCCAGTAAAATTCTTTGATTAGGTAGGCCACGTTATGCTCTCTTATGGCGCTGAATGTCCTGTTCTTCTGAATTGGTTGTTACTTGATATTGTCATTGCCTCGGCTTCAGTGTTATGTAGTTCATCACGTTAAACGTTGTCTTCTCTTAATCCTCTTTGACTGAATTTGGCTTTATTGGAAGCTTTTACTTGCTGGCCGCGGAGGCGGTTGCCTGAAAGTCCTCCTAGATGCTAGATGTCTCGGAACGTAAATTCTCAGCATCTTTGATCTTATCCTCATTTTGATTTTTCTCGACTTCTTGCTACTATCCAATCTTTGATTAGTTCTCCTAAGTTGTGTTTTATCTGAATCATCTATTATTTCATCCCACTGCTGGTCTGGTTGTTGAATGAGTTGGTAAACGTTGCAATATGATAGAAGGTTTGGTGCTTAATTGGATTTTCAAAGATCTTTTTAATACTATCACCGCCCTTGGTGATAAATGCAGTCAACAGTGCATCATTCTCTTCTCTGAAAAATATTTCCTGACATCCTTGACAATGTCTTCCTCCCCCCTTCGCCATTGTACGAGTGCTCTAAGTGTTACACGTATCTTATATTTGGATGCATAATTCTAAATTAGAAATTATTCACGGGAGTTGCATGCAGGTGGAGGACCCTACTAGTACAGTTTACTTCATGAAACAGACAGTGGGAAATGCATGTGGAACAATAGGCCTACTTCATGCTATTGGGAATATCACCTCAGAGATAAAACTTGGTTGGTCATTTATATTCATGCCATGAATGGTCCTTGTCATGTAGATATCTGTTGGCATCAAATATATTGTCTTATAGTACTACCAAGACAAGTGCATTGGATCCCGTATGAGCGCCTTGTGTTGTTTTTTTTTCACTTTGAAGTAACATAATATGTAGGTTTCTGCTTTTTGAGGGCTTCAGTTGTCATCTGCAGGGGATGTGTAGTATAGGAACTGGCTTCCTCGGTTACATCATAACTTATTCAAAAGAATGTATTATTTTTATTTGAAAAAGACCTTTAGGTTTTTGGTCATTCAGTCAACTGATGCTGCATACCGTATTAGTTGGAACTAGCTATACGAATCATCTGGATGCATTCTACTATATTCAGGTCCGTCTCATTAAAATGATCTTTTTTTATGACTGGAAAATCCCCGAGGGCCGGTTGGCGCACGGTTTGAAACTTGGTGGAGGGTCCGCCCCTCTACCTTCTCCACTTAAATACCAGTTTTTGTGTGTTTGGATGCATGATTCCAATTAATAATTTATCTTTTTAACTTTTAAGGTGGATTATAAGTTTTGATAAAACAGAGGTTTTCTAAATCTCACACTTATCCCTATACAGATGTACAAGTCTCCCACCATATAAAAAGGCCACCCCAACAAACTCAACCTTCTTCGTTTTTGGTACCATAACCATATTCCCACTTCACTTGTTAGGAACCGTCATATCTACCCTCATGTCCATTTGGACCTCTCCATTAGAGATCGGCGGTCATTTAGTTTCCTTATTTAATCTTATTTGCTGAGAGTAGGCACTAATGGGGTTGATTATCTCATTTTCCCATGCTGGTTTTAATGAGAGAATCTATCATGAATTTTCTTTACTCGTACAACTTATCCTTTAGTCTAGTTCTACATGATTCCTACCCTGTTATTTTTATCTATCTCACTATACCGGTACCTTTTTTGGTCCTCTATAGATGAGGACTCATTCTTGGACAAGTTCTTTAAATCAACTGCTCACATGGACCCGATAGAGGTATTCATTTTGGTTTAGTTTCTGTGCGGTTACTGACATGTCATATCATTGTATTCACTAAGCTCTAATACGTGCAAGTATAAAATGCAGCGTGCTTCATTCCTTGAAAATGATAGGGAAATGGAAGTTGCTCATTCAGTAGCAGCTACTGCTGGTGACACTGAGGTCAGAATTTATGTAACTTTGCTGTTCTTATTTATCTGAATGAACAATCTCAACACTGAGCTGTAAATAGAGATGTAGTGAAGATGTGACCAACTCTCCGCCAACTATAGATATTCAAAAGCCAGTTTTCTTTTCATGTAAAATAAAGTTGGGTGAACAACTGATCAAGTTACTTAGAAAGGAATTTGTTGGTGCAAATAGAACTAGCATAAAATGCGATGAACATTTGACTTGTTTCTAGTTAATTTAAGGGCCTACACGTTGATTTTGCTGATACATTCAAAACTTGGTTGTATTATTGGCACGATTGAGAAATCACTTCGTAAATATGTAGTTCATAAGCTTTTGATATGGTAAATAGACAACTGAGGATATTATACAATTCTAGAAGGTGGTTGAAGACCTATATAGAAATGTGTTATTCTTGCAAGAAAACCAGGTTCTTCAAGTGTAGTTACAAGTTATTAGCAACAAAGAGGTGGTTCTCGTGCTAAATATCATTCTTGAGAAGTTTACAGTGTGCACCATTCCCTAATTACAGACAAAAGATTGGAGTTTGAAAATCTAGGGACACAGATATACGTTATCCCACTTTGGACACGTGTGACGTGACAGAAGTTATTTTTCTTGTACTCATATGTCATATAATATTGGAACCAGTGAACTTCCTTGGAAACCAAATGGGCATTTGATGTGATATTGAAACAGATTTGTATAATTAGAATTAGTATTATGTTTGTTTTGTTGATCTTTTGTTACTTGGCTTCTCTTAACACTCTATGGGTTATATGTAAATTTTCCCTGCTCTGATGGGCTCTGTTAAAAAACCTTTCCAGTATTCTGGTCAATTCTTGTCATGCCCCTTTGGTTTCATCTTACTGTCTCCATGTCCTTGTCCTTGTCCATGTTAGATACGACTTGTGTGTTTGTATGCCAGCTAAGGAGTCTAGGTTTATTTGGAAACCACCTCATAGAAATTGACCTCTTTGTTCGTGTGAGGCACCGCTTTGGTGCTCTAGTGTTTGAACAAAAAATGTAATTGCATAATACTCCCTCAAAGTCTTCATAGGTTGACGAGTTGGCCCTATTACGCATGTGAGGCCCTCCTAGTGGTGTTCTTGTTAGTTGTTATTCGATCAACGACGCCTCAATTGCAATTTAGTTGTTAATATCCTATAAAATTTCTATTAGATTCCAATATTTAGATTTGATATTTCATGTGCACCCTCCTATATACTCTTCTATGTTAACAAAATTAAACATCCTTTTTGGATCTTTCCTTATCTATATGTTGTTTCTCTTTAAATTAAGTGAAACTGTTCTAGCTACTCTATACGTGGGCAAGGAGGCTTTTGTCATAAGCTTTTCGATAGGAAGGTAAAATATGCCTAACGCAACTAGTGGTTGTCTTATTTTAAGAATATCTGAATCTTGAATTAGTTTTTCTTAGGAAAATGAAAAGGAAGAGATCTCTCTGACGTGACACGATTGACTGGTGTCTTTTGAGTGCAAGGCTAATCTCCTAATATGCTAATCACATCTTTTGTTTGCCTTAATGTGCCTGTGTCAAATTTGTGAGACATGGGTAGAAGCACTATATTTGTAATCTTCAAAATGGACAGTAACCTGATTGAAAAAGGTTGTATCCTTCTACTATTTTTTGTTACATTGGCGCTCTTTTGGTGCAAAAGAAGCAGCAGAAAAAGTACATTCATTGCAATGTAACCCATAAGAATCATAAATGTTGAACTGGTTAGGGCAATAGATAAAAAAACAATCCTTGTTTTTGTCGCTGGTGATTGCAGCTTACAGTATCTGCATTATTTTTGGTACTGCTATCATTCTGTGAAGTATGCATATTTAACTGAAAAATGTCAGCTTCATGGTTGTAGGCCTGAAGAAAATGCAGCATTCAAATATTTCTTTTCTAAGTTGTAAGATATCATCGCCAAATTTGTGGCAGTCTCTAAGTTCAAAGTCGGTTAATATTTGTTTTTTGCTTTACATGAACATAGTGGTTATTCTGTTTGGACCTTGGTCGTAAGGATAGCGAGTCCAGCCTTTTGTTCGAACTTCGATCAGTTTAAGCTCATGATCCTCCTCTGTATCAGCTTTTGTATTGTGAAAGTGACAACTGTTGTTAGCTTAACAATCCTGTGCGTATTATATTAATATATATTGTATTTGACTTTATGATGTGTGCTAATAGTATGCAACAATCTGGTGAATTCTTTTTTCAGGCTCCAGAGAATGTGAACACCCATTTCATCTGCTTCACATGTGTTGATGGTAATTTTTTTTCTATCCTCATCTCTCTCTCTCTCTGGGTCTGCATAAGAAACTAATTCTGCACTATGAAACTCGAGAATAGCTTACTTTTATTCCTTTTTCCTATGTTTGATGATGTCCGAATGGAGAGCATTGAGAGCACAATTTCAGGGAGAAATTAGCAAACTGCATCCTTTCTTGTTTCTAAGCGCCCTGAACATACATTTGGAACCTGTATAATAGTGAACAACTTGCAATAATACAGTAATTATCAACAAAATTTACCTTATTCACCTTAAGTTATCATTACCGAAGATGAGAAGTTTCATAAACTTGTCATGTTGCAGGACAACTCTATGAACTTGACGGAAGGAGGTCTGGACCAATTTCACATGGTGCATCTTCTCCAACCAACCTATTACAGGTAACCATCCTTTGTTGTCTCTTTCCTTTTGAAGCCTGGTGGCTGCCGAAAGTTAAAACCAAATAGTGGGGAGAAAATTGTCTGAATCCCAAAACTCGGACCTGGACCTGACCTTCATCCACCACCCGAATTCTTTAACCTGTGAGATCAGTTAGATCCTGAATGTTGCAAGTCTACAAAATTTTCACTTATTTGGGATATAGAAGATATACAAATACATAAATCTCTAAGATGAAAAGCAAATATTAAGTTAGTCCTTACTATCTGAAAAGATTCTAGCGGACCATTTTGATACAGAGGAAAGTACAATAAAGTACCATGTTGAAGATGGCCGATCTTATTTCCTCAGAAGATCCAAGCCTTACCTTTTTGTATTCTAGTGACATAAGTTACTAAATTTAGACGGAAGACTTTTGGGACACTCATTTAGTGTGCTGACATAAGTTATCAAATAGCGTACCTCAAGATTTTGCTGTGGGAGGGGTGTTATGTGGCAGGTCTAAATGTCACATACGAGTTCATGTGAACCCCGTAGCTTTTGCTCAGACTTAGTATATGCATTAAGAAATTTATTAAATATTTATAAATATTTGACCCTTAAACCTATATATTAGCTTGAAATCGTAGTAAAAACCCATAAATTTCCTATGCTGGATTTGCCTCGGTTTATGTGGGGTATATTGTTCTTTATATCCTTTTATAAGTTGAAGCATTCATTGCTTTTTGCAGGATGCTGCTAAAGTTATACAACAGATGATCCAAAAAAATCCAGACTCTATCAACTTCAATGTCATTGCTATTTCAAAGAGAGTTAAAAGTGATGCACTACTCTGAGCGCGAAGTTTTATTGCCTGCGATCACTCGCTCAAACTTCTAATGTACATTGTACAAGAGCTAAAGATGGAGTTGTTCCATCACCTTTTGACTGGAGATCTTTTGGCTTATACTTGTGCTGTATGAGAACTAAAGATGTACTTATTCTCGACCTTTTACAAATTTTCGCTCCATTTTGTTTTTGTCTTTTGTAGCGGATATGTTAAATCTAAACTAGTGATTCCATGTAAATTCGAATTAGTTGGATGTACCAAGTTTTTCAGATACCAATGGCTAAGAAGAATACTTGCAAACTCTTGTCCATAAACGGGTCGCAAATGGTAACTAGCAATATCTCAAGATTTAATTTTGTTTGGATGCTGAAAGATTGACAAAAATGTCAATCAAATTTACCAACGAACTTTAGGATTTTTTTTATTTTCTTAGTCAAAGTCACTTTAGGAACCTGAATAAGATATTGCCCGTTACTGTTCTTCATAATACTCTCCTACGGAACTGGGTTCTTAGCCAATTGATGGGAGATACAATCTATAAGAGAATAGAAGAGATTGCTGTAAGCTCAAGTTTCACTTAAATTGTGCTGATTCAGGATTCCCTCAACCTGGCCTTAAGGGCCATTTCAGCTTTTGCATGAACTCATATTACGACGACTTGACCCTACTTACTTGCCTTAATGCTAGGGGTTCAACTCGCACTCTATTTGCTAATTAGAGGAATTAATCTGTGATTACCTGATAGGTCATTTGAATGCTAGCCTTTATTTCAATATTCCGAGACCTCTATTAGCTTCATTTTATGTTCCTTGATTTACGTGCGCAGTTCGTGTCTTTTTCTGGAATGCTTTTATGTGAAAAGTTGAAGAAAATATGAGTTTTGACTTTAATAATGAATTCAGTTGACTACGGTCCCGGTGGGTCCGTATTGTCAATTGGGACTTAGGTGTATGCCTGGATTGAATTTAGAAGTCCCTAACTTGATTTGATGTGTTTTGACAACTAATAACTCGAAGGTTTAAAGATTTTCTAGATTTGGCCGTAAGTTGACCTTATGGCTACCGGGTTCGGATTTTGCTTTCGGGACTGGTATATGTTCATTTTACTATTTGAAACATGACTGCAAAATTTTGTGCAAAACGGAGTTGATTTGATACTATTCGGACACTCGGTTGTGAATTTGGAAGTTCTTGAGTTTCTTTGAAAATTTCATGCATTTTCATGTCCGAATCGTAGTTCTAGATGTTATTTTGGTATTTTGATCGCGTAAACTCGCATGTGTGATATTATTACACTTGTGTGCATGCTTGGTTTGGAGCCGGAGGGGCTCAAGGTGAGTTTTGGATAGGTTATGGACCATTTCGGATTTAAGAGAATGCTAGTTTCAGCTGTTCTCTGGTGTCTGGTGCATTGTGCTTTCGCGAAGAGGAAATGGGGCTAGAGGCAAGTTTCTTCTTCGCGAACGCGAATGAGCTAGGCCCAAACGCGAAGTTGTGGGAAGTTTACCCTTCGCAAATGCGTCCTTCCTCTCTCGAACTCATAACCCTGGGTTATGGGGTCCTGGGAAGGAGTCTGTGAGTTACTCTTCGAGAACACGTTCATAGTTTGCGAACGGGAAGGCAGGAGGGGGGGTTGGGGGGGGGGGGGTTAAGCCTTCATGAACGCGAAGAGTGGCTCGTGAACGCGAAGGCCTTTGGTTGCTGCTGCATCGCGATCGCGTCAGGTGTCTCTCGAACGCAAAAAACACCTGACGTCAGTGATTTAAAACATCTCAAAATCGGGATTCTTCTCATTTTTCAACATTTTTAAGTTTGAACTCGTCCTAGAGGCGATTTTGAGGAGTTTTTTTTCATCCAACTAGATTCTAACTTATTTCCTTACATTTTCATAATCACCATTGATTTTAACTTTTAATCTATGCTCTTTCTTGATAGAAATTAGGGATTTATGTAGAAGTTGGGAATTTAAGAAATTGAGGTATAGACCTGAAATTGAGATCGGATTTCAAAACTAATAGTACATAATTGGGCTCGTATGTATTGTTGCTTAGTGAGGAAGAGAGAAAAGCACGAAAAGTGTTGCCGTGTATTATTTGCATTCATTATATATATATATATATATATATATATAAAAGTATATATAAACTTTTGACACCTACATAAAAACTTTGTGCAAATATAGCCTATATAGTCACTATCTTATCGAGTTTGAGCTCAACAACTGATATTAGTCCAGCGGTGCTTAGAGGTGTTCTCGTGCAAATACTGATATTAGTCCAGCGGAGCGGTGCTTAGAGGTGCGTGTGCGCGGATCATATTGCGACTGTCTTGTGACACCAGGCCAGACTTCTCAGCCGCGATGACAGCCCGGGATTCCAGGTGGTGACATAATCATGGCTCTGCACCTTTTCCTCAAATTTTTTTGCATCCGAATCCAGAACAACAACAATCAAGTTGTCTCTCCCCAACATGTAATGATATCATTAAAACATATATACTCAAATTCGCCCTCACTACCAAACGGGTTCCTACCATTTTCTCTCCTTTTTTTTGTGTGTGTGTGTGTGTGAGATCTTTAATTTTTTCCAATGGACAAGACAAATAAACAATGACCGAGACACATTAAGCGAAATGCAAATGTTATTACAATAAAATCAACCACAAAATCCAACAGTACATCTCCATAACAACAAAGAGATGAGACACTTAACACATAAGTAACTCAAAACAAAAAACAAATTAATTTAAAAGTACATAATGCATGTGCAATGCCTAAAAAAAGGCAGTTGTTCCTCAAAGTCCCCCAAGCTTAAAAACAGTCCTCTCCCCTTTCAATTCTAAGTACCCTTAATCTGTTGCTGTGCCTGATGTCCCAACTGCTCAGCTTTCTCCTTTATATCATGGGCTGCATGCGCAAGCCTATCTCTTGCGTAATCGATCTTATCCGCTCCGATTGGGTGCTTCCCAGTCGTATACCTGTCAGAACATATAAAAATTTTGAGTTCAAACTTCTAAATTCTTAGCATTAAACGCATTACATACATTACATTTTCTGATATGGATAAATGTGATAGAGGTAAATAGAAAATTCAAGTTATTTTGATATTACATTCAGAAATGTGTCATTTTTTTGGACGTAAGCCCAACTATGGGTCGGGATAAACCTAGCGTTTCTTAAACCCTTTATTTGTATTAGAAAATTCATTAAATATTTAATTGCAAACACAGAAACTATTACGATGAGCTATGGGTTGTGGCAAGTTCAGAACCCATAAACTTCAAATTTTAATTTTGTCTCTGCATGTTGATGATATATACTACATTGGCGAGTGTATGTACCTGTACATCCAGTAGAAAACAAAAGTAGCAGTAGCACCAAATCCACCAGCAGCTAATAACCCACCAAGGATCATGAAAATGGTAATGGTAGCAGGTACAAGAACAGGGCTGAAAATGACGAGCAAAGGAGTGGCCACAACTAAGCCAATGACAGTGGCGGCCAGCGTTAAGCCAGACAGAACCATCAGCGAACCACCAACAGTCACAGCAGTGGTGGTTTTTGCCACTTGACGTGACAGCTGCTGGTGCTGTTCATGGCGTGGTTGAATCTGAGCCATTTTTTTAAACTTTTGGAGATGTTTTTTAATTGAGGAGATAGAGATGAAGAGTGAAAAAGGAGAGAGGAGTGAGGAGTGTAAATATAGAGATAGGTTTGTGCATGGAGGTAACGTGTGAGTGTCTGAGGTTGCATGCATTTACTGTTTGACACGTATCATTTGTCTCTGCTCTGATTTACTAGCTGGCTTAGGCCTTTGAATCATTTCCGGGCGATAATATCTACAATTCTCTATATTTAACATTTTGATGATCAAAATTATACAGATAATTAATATAAGTAATTAGATTGTTTTTTTTATTAATCAGCCACCTGATGAAAATAATACTACTATATAACTTGTTCTAATGGATTAAACTCAATGGATAGTATAAATAATTTTTATATTATTATTATATATAATTTATATTAATAGGAAAAATATTTGAAAACAGAATGCAATCTGGAATGGACCAGTCCCGAACGAAAGATTACGAGAATTCGAATTCGAGTTTTATGTTTCGCTCTTGAAAATTCAAACGGCATGGAATTTATTATTATTTTGTTCCTCTGAGTCATACAAGTTTTTTTTTATCAAAAAAGAGAACAAAGGACAGGTGAGTCATAGATGATATTCAAATTCAAACCATGTGAAAACGAAACCGTCCCGGATTTCAATACTCTGTTACCAGTTTCAGAAAAAGAGGAAATTTGAATTAAATTGCTACCAAACGTAAGAAATCTAACTTTTTTGTTTTTCAGAGAATCTCGTAGCAATTGGTTCTACCGTTTATCCGCAAAACAGTATAATTAAATTTATTAAGTAAATTAAAAATAAATAAATTAATTTGATCCAAAAATAATAAGTAAATAAGATTACAATTGAGATTCAACTATTGAAATTGAAGAAGATAACGAAGCTGACTTCGTACGCATATTTCCGAGAGCAACAGCGAGAATAACGTGAAAGGGCAAATAAAGTTACTTCTTCCGATCCATAATAAGTGATCAATTTGCTTTGGGCACACCATTAAGAGAATACTAAGTTTTAGACAAAAATAGTTAGTGTGACTAAACTACCCTTAATTAAATATTGCAGCATAATTTAATGTGAGGAGTAAAAGACTTTTTAAGGATATGTACATAAGGGTAATTTTGAAAAAATAAATTGAATTTTTTCTTAATTATATAAATGGACACTTATTTTGGACTAAAATAAAAAAGAAATTGGTCACTTATTGTGCACCGGAGGAAGTATTAAATTGGGAGCACGAGTAATAAAATAGAGCTTTTGTATGCAGAAAGTTTCATCCTTTACAATGAGTGCTGAGCCTGTTATTTATAGCATTAGGGAAACAGATACTAGGAGATCCTCTTAAATGATAATAAAAGAGTCATTGATGATCATGTAACGACAGACCATGAATACAAATATTTTCCGCAACGGTCGCTCATTTAATGTTAGTGAATATTCCCTCATTGAATATTATTCGATAGCAAACCCTTGATCTTCTCCCGTAGGCTATACTCCCTTTGGGATTTATCCGATATCGGTTGCATTCATTGTATTCGGAATTAATTATTCCCTTACTTGCCCTTTCCCTTTTTTCGGTTCCATGTATCAAGTTACCGTTTGACCATTTGTTATAAACCGATTTTATCCCATAAATTCACAAAATCCGATCCGATAAATAAATTGTTTAGCAGATAATTATAATTTAAACACATGGTTGTTCATATGAGGTTTTGACACAACAAGATATGTAACAAATGGAGGAGTTTGGCGCTTATATTCATTTGAAGGTCATTTTAAGCGTAGTCATCTAAAAGTTTTGGGGTAATTTAGGCTGCATATGAAGTAAATGACCCGTAAGAAACCTTATCAAAACATAAAAAATTTAGTTTCTTGTTTAGTTTAGTTTATTGAAATAGCAATGATAAATAAAGAGCAATTTTATTTGTTTGATTTAGTAATTAAACAAATCATAAAAGAATCAACTAACAATTTTTTTTTTTTGAATTGAACGGATTGGATTATGACTCATTGGTTAGCTCAAATTAACTCAGCCAAATGTCCAACTCGCCTTTTTACTAACAAACTTGGTAAAAATTCCATGGGGCGCCCTATTTGGTCTCCTCCATTTAACCTATATAAAATTATTTAGCCTATACCCTAATTTTTACAACTTCAGGCGCCTCCTTCTTCCTGCGACCCGTGCGCTCCTTTCTTCCTCCTTTCTTTTCCTCTTCTTCTTCTTTTCTCTCTCATACACATGAGACTCTCTGTAAGTATTATTGATTTCGAAACTTTTGAGTAAAAAGGCTTCTTCTGGAGTTGGTCATATTGCTAACATGGAAGGTTTCTTAAGTTTTTTCAATACAAATTTCTTCAGGTGTTGTATACACTTGAATAAATTGTTATGCTTGTAATAACGAAAGCAATTGATTTTATAAGGCGTAATCTCACAGTGTTTCTAATGCAAAGAAATTCCCAATCCACAAACTTCACTATACAATGTTTATGACCAATAATGTATATCAATATGATAATTTTCCACTTCAAAAACATCCAAGGAGAGTTTTCTTTGGAGAAGTTTCAGTGGCACGGTGTTTTGCTGTTGTCTCCTCTGCCATAAGAAGATCTTCTCCACGTTTAGCTTCAATTATCGCTCTCTTTTCTCCTTTTCAAGTCTGAAGTTCTTCAGCGGGTCTGAAGTTTGCACTACAAACTGAAGGACTTCAGACTATTTTGTCTGAAGTTTGCACTATGAACTGAAGTTCTTCAGCCCAAACTTCAGACGAAAATATCTGAAGTTTTACTTTGATAAGGTCACACTTCAGTCAAAAAAATTTTGAAGTTCAAACTTCAGACATAAGTTTTTGCTACTTCAAGCCCGTATGTCTGAAGTTATTCCAAAAGCGAGTAGACTTGCAATTTTTTTGCAAAGCGGGTATAAGTTCAATTGTGACCCAAAAACTGGGTATAGATGCAAATCCCCCATGTAAGTTGTGGCTTGAGTTCTGCTTGTTCTCAAGGAACATGGAAGCTGTGAGCTTTTTGTTTTGAAATTTTTACCTCCTATAGCAAAGGTTGATACCTTATTTATTTTAAATAAATACCATTTTAAAAAATTATATTCCATAGCTACCTTTTGATTTTATAGCCAAATATCTATTTATGGTCAACTCCTACCCTTAAGCCATAAAATACGCTGCCCTCTCTCTCATAAAATACACTGCCCTCTTTCTCATAAAATACGATGCCCTCTCTTTCTCAACACACTCTCTCTCTCAACGCCAGTTTTGTCACGACCCGGATCTCCCACCCTCGGGAGTCGTGATGGCGCCTACTAATAGGAGCTAGGCAAGCCAACTAATTTAACATTTCTCTCAACATCATTAACAGTATAAAGAAGAACGGGGCAATTAATATAAAAGCGGAAGTCTCGATACATAAATAACTGAAACGAAGTGCGGAAATTCAAATACACCTCTACCCAGATCTGGTGTCACTAACTCACGAACTTCTACTGAATGCTAAAAACAAAGTCTGAATAAGAGTACAGTACTGTCTGATCCGATACAAGGGAAATCAAACGAAAGACAGAGATAAGAGAGACATCGGGCCATGCGGACGCCAGCAAGCTACCTCGGGAATCTCCGGACTGAAGTAAGCTCCCAACGCTCCTACTGTTGACCAAAGGCCCCTGCTCCGGTACTATGATCTGTGCAAAGAGCACAGAAGTGTAGCATCAGCACAACTGACCCCATGTGCTGGTAAGTGCCTAGCCTAACCCCGGCGAGGTAGTGACGAGGCTAGACAGGACCTACCAAAAACAACCTGTGCAGATATATATATATACAAAGGCAACAGAAATAACAACAGAGAATATCAACTAAAAAGGGGAAGGGGGCATGCTCGGGGAAAATACAGCTACAGATCAACGGATATAACGACGAAACTATCTCAATACCGTAGCTCATATATAAGTGGTCGGCGCGCCACACGATCCCATTTCTTAATTCATAAGTGGGCGGCGTGCCACACGATCCCATATCATAGTTCAAAATATCTGGCTTTTGTAAAGGAGGCCCCATTAGGGGGATTCAACAACATAACACTTTAACCCGGCAAGGGTACAGCTAACAGCCCAAATATCCCGGCAAGGGAGAGTACATAATAACAGTCTACACGTCCCGACGAGGGAATAATCACAACACATCCTATTTTAAATCACTTCTTTCTCAACTATCACATTCTTGTTCGAGCCATCTCTCCAAAATATACCAATCACAATTCTTCCTCAACCGTTCACATTAGATGAAATTTATCAATTAAACAAGAAGGTTGTGTCACATCATTCGAATTAAAAGCAATTAAGACTCACGGTCATGCTAGACTCCGGTGCATAGACAACCGTCACCATGCCTATACACCGTACTCAACATTTAGCAAGTAGCAAATAACATCCTAATCTTATTCCCTCAAGCCAAAGTTGGAACAAACACTTACCTCGGTCCAAGAATAGCAATCAACTCTCTAATACCGCCTTTCCTCTACAATCCAACTCCGAAACAATGATATCTAGGCATAATTAGTTCAATAATATCAATAAGGGCTCAAAACATAATCCCATAGCCTAGAAATGAAATTCCTATCATTCTTCCAAAAGCACCAAAATTCGACACCGGTCCCACATGGTCCAAACACGAGGCTCGGACCAAAACCCAATCACCCGTAACCCCACGAGTTCAAATATATAATTTATTTCAAGATTCAACCCCAAATTGAGGTTGAATCACCCAAAATCCCCAAAGCCCTAACTCTACCCAAAACTCCCATTTTCTACTTTGAATTCATGATTTAGGGCTAGGAAATTAGTAATTAATAGAGGAAATTGAAGAGAACAAGTTGAATAATGCTTACCCAAGAAGTTTTGATGAAAGGGAGCTTCAATGGACGCCTAAGTGCTTGGAGAAGAAAGGAGTTCGTGTATTTTTATGAAAATCCCGAGCTACTGTTCTGTTTTTAACTTAAAAATTTGCTGGGCAAAATTGCCCTTCGCGTTCGCGGG